GCCTAACGTTTTTCTTCCAGAAACAAAGGATAACTTTTTAGGTGATCATGCCATACTGGATATAACCGTACATTTCAGTTGAGAGGCTCCAGAAAAGTTCTGTGGTTGTTAAAGGAACCGTCGATACTTGAGCTGCACAGTACGTCATTTTGAGATCCTATTGTACACATCTGCAATTGTCACATAACTGATGCGCAATGTCAAGAATAAGGATAATAGATGAACAAAATCTGAAATACAGTTAGAAATTAATGTAATTAGAATGTGCAATTAAAGGTTATAATTTGCTTGAGTTTTTGTTTCTCTTACTGTGTTTGAAGTAAGGTTAAAGCATTCAGGCACAAAAAAACTGATTACTTTCATTTCATGTTTGTTATTATGTGTTATTTTATATTTGAATATTCAATATCTGTTTTTGACTACCATTATGACTTCACAGAAAAAATATAAAAGAAGCTTGTTTATTAAATTTTATAGAGATAGAAAAAATAACCTCAGCCTTTCTAAAAACGTCAATCTTACAAATATTCAAGGCATCTGGTAAAATAGGGTTCATATCGCAAAATGTTGCAGAAATGCAAAACATTTAAATGCATCCACCCCCCCCCCCCCCCCCTCACCCACCCCCACTATCATGCAGTCCTGATCGATGGCAATAAAAACCTTTAGTTTTAAAAGTGTGTGAAAATATCAAGCTTAGATATGGATGTCCCCTTAGTGGGGCCACACTCCTAAAAAAAAGATGCCATAAATAACGAAAAAAAGATTTTCATATAGTTATTCCAAAAACCTTTGTTGTTACCCAAAGCACTTTTCTGTGAAATATAATCAAAGAATAAATAGCTCTTTTTTTGTGAAAAAGAACCTTTGTTCAATGGGGTATATGCACATGTAGTGTTTTTCAGCAAATGATGAATTTCCGGTGAAAGCGTTATGTGACTATTTTCAATTTCATAAGGTTCTTTTTACAGCATCGATGTTGTAATGTAATTCAAATATAATCAGTTACATAGACTCACCCATCCATTTGGTTGTAAAACAGACCATTTAAACGCAGATGCCATCAATAGCAGCAGGCTATAGTGCAAAAACTCCATTGAAAATACTGGGGTAAAATTAATTTCCATATTTTAAATGTTACATGACACGAAAAAAATATTATTTGATGCAGTGCATCTTGTTTAGTCTGATACCCACTTTATATTGTAACTACGCCAGGCAGTAATGATTGCTGTTTTTTAAAGAAATCAGATCTTAAACTGTGTGATTTTGTATAGGATGACAATTCACAGGAAGCCCTGGGGCTGGCTGACTAAAATAAAAAGTCTGTGTGCATGCATATACCTCATTGAAAAGTTTACTGGATTCAAGCGTTCTTCATGGAACTATCAAAGCCAATAAAAAAACTTTTATTTCAGAGTGAATATATATAAGCACGATTGCCTCTCAGCAAGATAGTCGCTGGTTTGAGCCTTGGCTTGGTCAGTTGGCAATTCTGTGTGGAGTTTAGATGTTTTTCCGTGTTTGCGTGGGTTTCTTCCAGCTGCTCCGGTTCCGTATCATTAAGTTAGCGTATCATTCCACTGTGGTGACCCCTGATTAAGGGACTATAATGAATGAATATATGAGAAGTTTTGGTGCTGCTTGTTATGTCTGAATATAGTTGAATATGATAGAACTAAATAAATGAAGTCAGAAGCCACAGAGCCTCCATGATGTAACACTCTGAAATATTCATAAACATCCACAGCACATTTAAATGGAAATGATTGGTCTTATGCTAATTATGGAGGGAGAATGCAAGGGGTGATAGTTAAGAAACCTCACTGCTCTGAATAATTAAAAATGCAATTTATAGTCGAAATGAAAATCCTTAATGCCATGTGCATTTTTATGGTGCTTTAATAAGTCCACAGAAATGAATGACTGTTTATGATGGTTTCAATCGTGCATGTTGATAAAAAAAACATGCACGGGAACTGATGGAATGTAAGAAACGGACAGAAATATAATCTGGTTCAGGCTCTGGTTTTTGTTCTCTGTGGCTTTAAAAATGTCAAGCTCTGATTGGTCTGAAAGAAGTGACAGAAGTTGAATGTTGTGTCTGTTCATCCAATCAGAGTCTTGGGTTTCCTTGGAGACAGTTGAGAAAAGAAAAACATGCCATTTTTTTTACTAGGTGAAATGTTTGGTTACACTGCTACCCTGTGGAAGGATCACGAATACAGTGACCGTCCAGAAATCCTCCCACTGTTTGGTTTCCAGGTCTTAGGTTGTGAAGAATGACTGAACACAAATTCGCCATTCATTTTAGCCATTGCCTAAACCTCTGAGCGCACCGTGGGGTCAGACAGCAAGGCCCGAGGAAGAAGGTTGTCAGTAGGTGTGTGAAGATTAGAGAGACTGTTAATTGTGCGTCATTCTCACATTTCTTGTGTTTATTCTGAACTATTACCGGGGCTTGACCTTTTAGATAAATGAACAGAGGGGGATGTGGATGGATGAGGGGAGTAAAAGGTGTCTGGACGAAAGCATACAGGGAGAAAAATGAACCGAGAAGTGGCTGGACTGAGGCCTCGTTTTTTTTCTTCTTCTTTTTTTGATTATACATCAGCTTACCCTTGACAAACAGTTGTATTTATGATAGCTGCGTGTTCAGAAAAGGCTCACGTATGTTCGTGAATGAGAGCGAGGGTCAAAGGGCTCCTCTCTGAGATGGTCATCTGTCTGATAAACTGGACACATAACATGGCAGACTACAGACTCGGTGGTGATGTCACACAGACTGGGTGCTTTTGATGAGCCGAGTCTTATTTATGGGGCATTAGATTCACATAGCAGTTATACCTCACCTCTCACACTTGTTGTTTTTCTTTTAACTTTTTTTTCCTCCAATGACAAATTCAGTTCACTGCATAACATTGTCTGTTATACATCCAACCGCAGCCTTTTAGCTCAAAGACGAGAGATGCCACAGAGATTAGTTCAAGAGAAGGAAGCATCTGCTCATGTTTAAATGAGTTTTTAAATAAGCCTGGTAATGTGCCCAGAGGCCCACCTGTCGCCTACACTGTCTTTTAGCTTTGGAGGTTTGAAGCTGATGAAAGCTGGAGCACGAGGGTGAGGATTTGTGTCTCATTTCCCTGTTTGCAGCAAATTGTTCCTCTGTGCTGCCACGCTCATGTGCCCTAGAAAACATGCTAAAAATAGGTGCGTGGGTGCAGATTGAAGCGCAGCACGCCCTGCACCACATTTTGATATATTCCTATAACAGTTGTCATCATATTAGCAGTGCTTTCAAGAGATGGGGACAATTTGTTTATGGGTGAACCCCCCTCTTTTATACCAAATGAGTCAGTTATAGCACTTCTTACAAAGTCAACGACAAGGGGAATTTTAGTAGGGAAAAAGCATCTTTGTACGTATCCTCTTTTTAAGGGTGCTTATAAATATCCATATTTATCATAAATATTTATTTTCTATATCACATTTAGCTGAAGTCAGAATTATTAGCCCTCCTGTATATTATTATATTATAATGCATAGATTCTGTTTTATTCTACAAACAACTGAATTCTTCTAAATTTAATAAACAAATGAAAACCTTTTTTTTGCGAAATGTGTCATGTTTTTATGCATATATTCATTATTTAAACAGTCATATGCAATACCAATATTTTAACCTGGTTGTTTCAATCACAAAAACAAACACATTTGTTATCCTAAATTACTAAAAGATCATATTTTTATTTGAAATTCAGAAGAAATGTTTTTATTCTTTATATAATAAAACAATTATTATTATTATACTTAAACCCATTCCTAATAAACCCACCAACAACATCATTAAAAAACTATTTATTGGATACACACACACACACACACACACACATACAGTTGAAGTCAAAATTATTTATCCCCCTTTAAATTTTTTTCTTTTTTTAATATTTCCCAAATGTTTAACAGAGCAAGGAAAATTTCACAGTATGTCTGATAATATTTTTTTTCTTTTGGAGAAAGTTTTATTTGTGTTATTTCTGCTAGAATACAGGCAGTTATTATTATTTTTTATATATATAAATAGCTTGCCTAGTTACCCTAACCTGTCTAGTTAACCTAATTAACCTTAAGCCTTTAAATGTCACTTTAAGCTGTATAAAAGTGTCTTGAAAATATCTAATAAAATATTATTTACTGTCTTCAGGACAAAGATGACGAAAAATCAGTTATTAGAAATGAGTTATTAAAACTATTATGATTAGAAAAGTGTTGAAAAATCTTCTCTCCATTAAACAGAAATTGGGGGGAAAATAAATAGTGGGACAAATAAGTCAGAAGGGCTAATAATTCTGACTTCAACTGTATACAGTGCTCAGCATAATTGAGTACACCCCATTTTGAAAAGCAATATTTTATCCATTTCTCAGTGAATATGTGTAATATATATTAGTGTATAAATAAAAATAAATATTTATTAAAATAATATTTTAGTCATCGAACAGCTTTAAAAATGGAAAGATAATACATTTGAATTCATGCAAAATATTGCAAAAAAAAAAAAATAAATAACAACCTACAACATTTCAACAAAAACATTTCACATTTGCTTCTTTTTAATTTGCTATTTTTAAAATTTTATTTAATATTTTTATCTAACCTAAATTTGGGTGTACTAATTTTTGAACCATTATTGTTTTTTCGATAAGCTCAAGATTTGGCTTCAGTACTGACTAAACTAATGTGCACAAATATAATATTGTAAAGCATAGAAAATTTTTATTTGAATGAGAGATTAGTGAGGGGTGTACTCATATATGAGGAGCACTGTATGCATACATACATGTATAGTTTTTGTAGTTTTTTTATTTTAAGTGCATAAACAAATGGCAACATTGTTCAGTTTAATTATTATTATTATTATTAGCTATTTATTCCTTTTATAGTTTTCACTTTGCTACATTTTTTTCACAGCATTATTTCTCTTGATTTCTGATTGACAGTTTTTGAAGAGATCCCTCTGGTGGCTGCACAAGACCTGAGTAACATTCTGAAGCAAGGTTACCTGGAAAAAAAGAGACGAGGTAAATATCTTTAAAAAATTAATGTGCACCTTAACATCTGCAAATATTTATATATTTTTGAATTTCTTTGGTCAGATCACAGTTTCTTCAGCATGGAATGGCAAAAGCGATGGTGTGTTCTGAACAACACCATATTTTATTACTTCGGGAGTGATAAAGGTATGTCTTGTTCCGTGTAAATACAGTGCTCAGCATATATAGTTACACCCTTCACAAATCTCTCTTTTAAATTCATTTTTTAAATATTTAAATTTTCATTTTTAATATTTCAATAGAAAATAGAAAATTTAGTTATAATGTTGTAGGTTGTAATTTTTTTTGCAATATTTTGCTTGAATTTCATTTTATTATCTTTCAATTTCTAAATGTGTTTGGTGACTCTAATATTATTTGAATAAATATGTCTGTTTAATAAATCTGTTTTGTTTAAATTTACCAAAATACATTTTCTATTTTCACTCAGAAATGGATAAAAATATTCATTTTCAAAATGAGGTGTACTCAATTATGCTGAGCACTTTCAGTATCAAGAATATTAAATACAGAGATGCTGAGAAACTAAATTTGGTGTTCTGAATTCAGACAAGCAGCAGAAGGGCTCGTTTTATATCAATGGTTACAGTGCAGAGTTGGTTCCCAGTTTACGCAAAGACTCCAAGAAGAGCTCCTGCTTTGAGATGAGTGCTCCTGGAAGACGCTCTTACCAGGTTCAACACACACAAACACACTCACATTAACCCTCACGTTCAGTCAGTCATCCTGCTGTCATTACAATGAAGAATGATTATAGTCTCCAAATCCACAATGATAGCTTTTCCTCTACAGTTCACTGCCAGCAGTCCTCGTGAAGCAAGAGAATGGGTGGACCAGATCAATTTTGTTCTTAAGGGTAAGCCACATATGAAATGCATTTTTATTGAGATGCAAAACATATTTATATCATTTTATAAATGCATCTGACTCGGGCTGAGCACCACAGTGATCATATTGAGGTGAAAAGGGCAGTTTTATAAAAAAGAGGCTTAACGATAACTTTCCCTCCGGCACAGCCAATAAGACAGGCTCTAGACCTCCTCATGCAGCACGTCATTGAGCTTCTGAGCCCAACGTGCCTCAGGCTGCCTCCTCTTCCCCGTAGCGCTGCGCTCTTTACAGGAAATTGATTGGGATTTGCCCGGTCATCCTTTAGGGGCATCGATCTGGTCCTGCTTGGCATCCAGGCAGTGAGGATACGATAGCCTGTGTTACAGAGCTCAGTCACCTGCAATCAGGCTCTCGCTCCATCTGAGACAGATCTGAGGCATCCTCGCCACTCTAAAATGGGCTCAATGCGGCCCTCTGATTTGCGGGAAGTAATGGACACTCCTGAGATAGTTTTCTCCTTCCCCATCCCCCTTCGCACATGTAGATACAGCCAACTGGCACAAAAGTTCTAAATTAGCACTGTAATAAGTTAACACCTTTATTTTATTATGGTGGACAAACATCTAAGTATATACTGAAAATCTGTTAAAGGTAAAATTAAAATAAAAACATAAAAACAAATAAAGTTTACCTGAAATTTTAATTTAGCAAAAAGGAAAAACTACATCTAGCATCTCACTGCCATTATGGAAAATTGTGGCAAAAAAGAGAGAATAAAACTAGACTGAGAAAATAAGAAATTAATGTTATTTTCATTGCAATTTCAATGTATTTCTTAAATTGATTTATGCTTCTATCGTATTTGGTGACACTTTATTTTTACTGTGCTTTTTAGAAAAATTGTTGACTAAGCTAATTTGCTGCTACATGTCAGCTAACTCTCATTATTATTGAGTAAGAATAGATTATTAATAGACTATTAGGTTATGCTTATTATTAATGTAAGATTAATAAGTTGGCAAGTTTTGCTATGCAAAGTTACTTAAAGTCAGATGAACATCTGTTTGGACACTGAAAATAAAGTGGTAGTAGAGAAGTAGATATTAAGCTGTTTACTGATATGTCAAGTGCTACAGGGTATGTTGAAATTCAGTTGCATCTGCAAGTCAAAACAAACAAATAAATAAATAAGGAAGCATCACGGTGGCGCAGAGGATAGCACAATTGCCTCACAGCAAGAAGGTTGCTGGTTGGAGCCACGGCTGGGTCAGTTGGCATTTTTGTGTGGAGTTTGCATGTTCTCTCCGTGTTCTCGTAGGTTTCCTCCGGGTGCTTCGGTTTCCCCCACAGTCCAAAGACATGCAGTATAGATCAATTGAATATGCTAAATGGGTCTTGTAGGTGTGTGAATGCAGGAGTGTATGGGTGTTTCCCAGTGTTGGGTTGCAGCTGGAAGGGCATCCACTGTGTAAAAACATATGCTGGATAAGTTGGCAGTACATTCCCCTGTGGCTACTGCTGATGAATAAATGGACTAAGTAACTACTATTTAAATGAAATAAAATAAAATGAAATACAATTAATTAAAAATAAATAAATAAATAAATATTTGGCGCTTCAGAGCAAGTGAAGCAGGTTCATATGCACCTCATTTTGTTTTTGTTTGTTAATGTTTACAACACGAAACACTTGATAATCAGCTACTTTAGTTTTTTTGTAGCTGGTTGACATAAACTTGAATTAACAAAACTTAAAATGGCATATTGCAATAAAGACAATATAAATAATGTTACAACATATTACGTAGATAAGCAACATCACACAATTTATAGTGCTATTTTAGCCAAACATCAGTACAGCTGTTGAGCCATACTGATTTTCTACATGTTTAATAAACAAGTTAAAATTTAAGGGACAGTTCTCACAAAAATTAAAACTCATTTACTTATTTACACACTCTTCCCTTGTTGCAAACATATATGAGATTCTTTGTTTTACTAAACACAAAAAAAAGATTATTTTGAAGAATGTGTGCCATTGACCAGTAGGAGGACAGAATCCCATGCAGGTTTGGAAGAAGTAGAGGGTGAATAAACAACAGATTTTTAATTTTTGGGCGAACTGTCCCTTTAATTGACTTACATTTCAGAACGCATTATCGGATTTTGCTTAATTTGTATTACTCTTTCATAATGGCTTCTTACCTGAATGAGTCATTTTTCTTATTTCAGCATTAATGGTTATTTTCAGGCTTCTTTTCAAGATCAGGAAAGTGACTTAAGACTGAAGACTAAAGTAACTGCAGCTTCAAATTCAGTTTAATCAGTACAGAAGTAAATTAGATTTAAGATATTTAAATTTACAGATCAAAATAAAAATAGAACCATTTTCACAGGTGGTCTCAAACACCACTATATGTACATTGTTTGTCTGCTGTTGTTTTAATTGTTTAGGCATTTATCATTATTATTATAGCTTCTCTCTAAGATCTGAGCTTAACCAGGGAAAAAAATAAGAAAATTTGAAAATTATGTTTTTGTGATGTCAACTTTTTACATAAATGGAATTATGCTGCTCTTATCATTGGTTTCACTTAATTTTGATGGTCTTCTTTAAAAATATTAATGACTGCAAGTAAATTAGCATCTAAATGTCAGCTAACCCTCATTATTATTAAGAGTGATATTAGATAATTAATAGACTGTTAGTTTACAGTTGTTGTTATTATTAGTGTAAGATGAATAAGTTGGGAGGTATTTAAAAAGTTACTTATAGATTATCTGTTAGATGGTAGTAGATATTAAGCTGTTTACTGACACTCCAGTTGCTGTAGAGTGTGACCAGTTTCAGTTGCATCTAAAATAAATTAAAATCTGAATATATTAAAATAGAACCATATTCACCAGTGGTTTCAAAGCCCAATACACTGGTTGTTTGTCTGCTGTCACTTTCATTGTTTCTGTGTTAGTGATTGATTTTATGGCTTCTCTCCAAGATTTGAGCTCAAACTTCATCCCTTTTGATGATGACGAGGAAGAAGAAGAGGTGGAGGAAGAGGAAGAGACGTATGATGATATTGAACGAGCAACAACACCACCACCTCCAAGACCTGGAGTAGCGTCTGCACAGGTTACAACCCCGAGAAAAACTCAAAACAGCCATGAAGAGTGGAAAGACCAAGCACTGCCTCAGGAAGACGAAGAAGATGATGAGGAAGAGGACATTTATGAAATACTTCCCGGTAAAAACAACGCATCACACTGTAAACAAATCAAGGGGATGCCTTTGGTATTAAGTTTGACTGTAAATTTCCCTACAGGAATGAGTTCTTGATGGGATTTTAGTGGAGCACAGCTAGTAAGGTTGTTACCATCAGTGCTAAAATGTTAAACATCGTCAATAAGAGCATATACATCAAGATCTGGTCACCCAAAGTGATAGCAGGGCCCTCGCAGGACCTAATGAGATCTCCGAGGAGAAATAGATCACTCTGGAGTGCTGTCATTTTCACCTTACTTTGCCATGTGTGCTGGGCAGCTGAGCTGGCCACAGATGGTGGATCGAGTGACCACCTCTCTCACTTTTCCGCCCTTCATTCATCTCCCTCTCATCATCTTGTGCCTCTCAGATTTTCAGTTTGGAAAAGTGCTGAGCAAAAGTGTTTTTATGACATTGTCTAAAAAAAGTGCTGAATTAAGTGTTAATGTACGAACTAATGGCTTCAAAGAAACTATTTACATACAATTATATAGCACATACAGTTGAATTTAGAATTATTAGCCCCCATAAATTATTAGCCCAGCTGTTTATTTTTTCTCCAATTTCTGTTTAACGGAGAGAAGATTTTTTCAACACATTCTGAACATCATAGTTTTAATAACTAATTTCTAATAACTGATTTATTTTATCTTTGGCATGATGACAGTAAATATTATTTGACTAGATGTTTTTAAAGACACTTCTAAACAGCGTAAAGTGACATTTAAAGGCTAAACTAGGTTAATAAGGTTAACTAGACAGATTATGGTAATTAGGCAAGTTATTGTATAAAAATGTTTTGTTCTGTAGACAATTGAAAAAAATATATAGCTTAAAGTGGCTAATAATTTTGTCCTTAAAATGGTGTTTAAAAAAACTAAAAACTGCTTTTATTCTAGCCGAAATATAAAAAATAAGACTTTCTCCAGAAGAAAAAATATTATCAGACATGCTGTGAAAATTTCCTTGCTCTGTTAAACATAATTTGGGAAATATTTAAAAAAGAACAAAAAATCAAAGAAGGGCTAATAATTCTGACTTCAACTTTTGATCCAAAGTTTGAGAAATATTTATTCAGGGAAATTTAAACTTTTGTCAAGAAAGAAATTGATCGGAAGTTAAATTTTATTAAAAAAAAACATTTATTTAAACTTTGAGGTATGGTGCTTAGCATATATAAGTACACCCCTCACAAATCTCTCTTTTCAATTCATATTTTAATAGGAAGCTATAGAATATAATATTTGTGCATATACATATACATTAGATTAGTCAGTACTGAAGCCAAATCTGGAGCTTATCTTACAAAAAACTTACGATAATGGTCAAAAACTAGTACAGCCAAATTTATGTTATAGAAAAATATTAAATACAAATTTTAAAAAAGATAAAAAAATCAAGAGAAGCAAAAAATAAAAAAATAAATAAAAAAATAATAAATAAATGGAAGAGTTTAGTTTAAATTTTGTTGGTTGTAATTTATTTTTAATTTTGAATTTAATTGTATTATCTTTCCATTTTTAAATATGATGGTGACTGAAATATTATTTCAATAAATTTATCTGTTTAATAAATCTGTTTTGTTTAAATGCACCAAAATACATTTTACTGAAAAACGGATACAAATATTCATTTTCAAAATGGGGTGTACTCGATTATGCTGAGCACTGTATGTGTTTATTAAAGAATTCTGAAAAATTCTAACATCTAAATTAGCTGCTGTCTTATTTTAGGCTTAAACAAATAAACTTTATAAGCAATTAAAATGTCAAATAATATAAGATTAAACTGACATAAAGTATCAAGTTGAATGTTATATAACTGAAGTTAAACTGCTCATCTTCGTTTAATAAATTAAAGTAACAAACATTTGTTGGCATAACTTAATGATCATATGTATTTTTTACACAAATATTAAGCAGCATAACATTTCAACATTGATGATAATAATAATACATGTTTTTGAGCATTACATCACTACATCAGAGTACGAGACGAGGATCAGGTAATGATAAATATTTAAATATAAATAAATAAAACATTTGATTTTTAATATATATTTTTTTTACAATATTACAGTTTTGTAAAGAAAAAATCTAATAAAATGTGTGCTGCTGTATATTAATTCACAATGTTTGCTTTAATTCTATTACAAAAATGAAAGCTTTTTTTCTGTAAATGTTTTAGATTTAGAATGCACAATAAATTCAATAACCAAGTCATGACAACACATGTTTTGTATGTTATTTAACTTAAAATAATAATAATTCCTTACATTTATATGGCACTTTTCTAGACCCTCAAAGCGCTTTACACATTAGGGGAATCTCCTTATTCACCACCAGTGTTCAGCATCCGGATGAGTGGTGGAGAGGAGACAGAGTGATGGGGATGGTTAGGAGGCAATGATGGACCTCAGTTTAACGTCTCATCCAAAAGACGGTGCTCACTGAGCTGTATAGAGTACCTTTCACTATACTGGGGTGTTAGGAACCACACAGGCCACAGGTTGAGCATCCCCTCCTGGCCTCAATAATAACACTTCCGGCAGCAACCTAGCTTTCCTATGTGGTCCCCCATCCAGGTAAAAGGCAGAAATGCAAATTTGAAGTTGTGAGAATGAGGAAAAAAAGAAGGAAAAACTGAATTGTGTGATGTAAACTCATATTTGGTGGCAAAAAAGTCAGTAATCCAAGATAAACATTAGAATAGCAGGAAAAAAGTCAGATTTGTGAAAGAAACTTAGACATCTAGGAAAAAAGGAGAATCCCAAGATATAAACTTATAAAAATTAAGTCAAATGACAGAATTGTGAAATACAAACTCAAACTGGATTTTAAAAGATGTCAGAATTAGAATATATAAACTCAGCCTTTCTAGAAATAGTCAGAAATGGGAAATGAAAACAAGAAATAAAATGAATAGAAATTGCAAGTAGCATGTCAGAATTGCAAGAATTATGAATGATTTTTTTTCTGTAAACGTTTTAGATTCAGAATTCACAGATACTGCCAAAAAGTAAATAACCTTTAATTCATGACAACACATTTTTTGTATGTTAATTTAACTTAAAATAAATGTAGTTCTACATTAGTTGCTCACAATTCACATTTTGACAATGCTAATTAACGTCTCTTGTTATAAAATAAAGCCTTCAACAACACATTTTAGACATACATTTTGCACATGGGCATATGGTAAAGGACCACTTTAGCTTTACAGGTTTTTTTTCTTCATGCTGTTCCTGGAAGCTCAGGGCAAGCGCGTGCTGTGGGAAGTATAGGGTTGCTGGACGGTGGTTTTATCGGCAGGCTGACAGCGTGAGGATGGATGTGGGAGACAGAAAGCTGGGCTATCACTGTCACCTCATAGACCTAGAGGTGCCACGCCCAGAATCAATGCCTGTCTGCCTGAAACACACTAGCCATCTAACCCGACCTGGCACCTCTGCCATAAATCACACTGGAACAGGAGATATTGTTTGAAACTCTTAGAAAAGAAGAACACAAATTTGATCCGGAAGTTGGAAGATGTAGCGTAAATTGGCAGAATTTCGTATTTTTATATCGGATAGATGGCATTTGTTTTGTATTTTTATAACTTCTGACCTTTTGTATTTATTTTGCAGATGATGAAAATTCTGACAACGCTGAAGATTGCAGTGAGAGAACTGGTGAGTACTTTCTATGTGTTTATATGTGGAATTTATGGAAAGAAGCTTTGTTTTAAAATCAAGGGGCTTTAAGTTATGCTTATTATTGACAAACTGGTTTTTAGTGGCTCCTATGTAAATCATTGTAAAAAAGCTTTTTTTTTGTTTTACTTTAGTGGTTTTTATGTTGAAAACTCCTTTTCTTTCCAACCAAAATATCAGACCAAGACAAAGGAGTAAATATATTAATTAAATTTATTTTAGTAAACTATTTCTTTAAGATAAAGAAAGACTTCTATTATAATTTTTGTCACTGTTAATATTTAATTATCACAAAGAAATGTACAGACATAGCAGTTAATGAACCTCTGAGTTATATTGTGAATTATGGTATATAATTCAGAGATTCATTAGTTACTAAGCCTGTACATTTCATTACCTTTTTTACTACATTAATTATTTAATATACTTAGGTTTGTTCAGAAAACAATAAAATATGAAGATTTCAAATGCAAAAGCCTCTAAATGTCTGAAATAAGTATTTTTTTGTTGACTCAACTTAAGTCATTCCAGTTCTGTAGACCAAACATTTTTAGTTGGCACAGCTTAAAAAGTTTTGTTACAGAGTTCACCTCTCCAGAAAGCTAATAAATAATCTTATGTTAAGTATCCCCATTAAATGTTTTTTTTTTTAAAAGCTGAGTGAACAAAAAAAAAGTGAAAGGAAATAAGGATTATGTTTTTTTTTGTACTGGGTTAAATTTTCTACAGTGTAGCATTTTTTTACAGGCTCCCAATTTTAGGTTCAGTATTTTTATTTTAAAGAATAAGAATAAGTTCTTTTCATTCAATTTAAATTTAAATAACTAAACATAAACATAGGATGTTGAGAAAACTGCAAATTTTAGAAGAAAATTTCAGACGGCACTTAGAGGTTTTTGCATATGAACTTTTTATATATAATAAATCCGATATGGTTGTTTACCAAAACACAGAAAGGATGTCCACTGGAAAATGATTTATAATTTGTTTAAACAATGAGTTGAACCATCTCAAATAGCCGGAGCATGGCTGTGATTTTGTCATTGGACTGTTTATATTATTATATTTTGACAAGTATATTTATCAGCTCTTACTTTTAATCTCTCTGCGACTGACATGTAATTAAACTGGCTTTAATTGATGGCGATATTTTCAAAAGTGCATCGATAAAACCTCTTTTTTTCTCAAATCAAGGGTCCTCCGATTATGCCAATTATTACCAAGGCTTGTGGGATTGTGAAGCTGAGGGACCGGATGAGTTGGCCTTCCAGAGAGGAGATTTGATCTACATCCTCAGCAAGGTCTGTGTGTTACTTCCTCACATCTCTCACTTAAACACACACATACAAGGTCAGAGTTTTAGTTCAGCGCTGTTGGCTTCATGGCCTTGGCTGATTTGTTAGTTGAAGTGCTCTGCATGTATTTAGATTTTTTTTTCTCTTATCTCGCCCTATCCATCTCCTCACTAATGATGAATAATATGGAGCTGGCCATAAGATGAGTCATATCGGTCAATACTCGCTGACTTTCTCTTAGCAGCTATTCATTTACTGTATTCTCAATGACAAAGCTGGGATGTACTGCGCTCAGTCAGTTCATTCTTATTGCAGTATTTTGAAAAAGCGCCTCAGATAAAATATAATGCATGAGGATTTGCGGTACTCTTTTTCTACTGCTTTGATTGTTGTGTATCAGTCACAGAATGCAATGAATAGCGTATCAGCAACATGTTGTCTTTATAAGAAAGCAAATGATTTTTCTCCAAGAGATTTGCGAGCAGCAAATTGAGCGTGTTTTGTAGCATGCCATATTGACATAAAAGAAAACTCCTTTTACATCTATGGCCTGTAGACGATTGCAGTGCTGTGGCCACACAGGCACTTTCTCAATAATAGGCTGTTGATTCATCGCTGTAGTTGTGTTTCGGAAAATTGAGTGGTCAGCCAAGCAAACCACTTTATTTGATGCATTCACTTTAATCTATATGTTTTTGTATTTTACAAATGGGATGTAAGCAGGAACACATAGTGTAGCTGATTCTTAAAGATACACCAGTGAAATAATCAATGTGTTTTAATTTTGCCTTTGACTTAGCTCAATGTTACCTTAAAGGGATAGTTCATCTAAATTTTAGATTCATTATTGCTGTCCAAAACCAATCTGGGGTACGCTTTCCAAAACAATGACACAACTCGCAGCTGAACTATCATAGTACGATGCGTCGAATGATGTAGTGACGAGTGTTTCCCAAAACCGCAGTTGCTCTGTTGCAGATCTATCATTTGAACCATGTTAGTTATAACGTAAAGCACCCATAATGATGCTTTAAACGGGGTGCAATAACTACTTCTTTAGCGAAAAACCCCATAATGTTTTGTGCAAATTATATTGTTTTACATAAACCTGCATTTAAAATAAAATCCAATATTAGTTTTGGTAAAAACAAGCACTCGTTTCCCATATTAATTCAAATATATGTAAATGACAAATAAAGTACAATATGCAATAGGCAATATGTTTCCTTTACAAATATTATTGAGAAGAATCCATAAAAAATCACTAAGCTAACACTTATTCTAATCTCATATGTAAATCATATAAATTGGCTTAATTTACAGTGGGCTATTAATTAAGAAATAAACAAATCCTACTTAATAATAATAATAATAATAATAATAATAATTTTTATTTATTATTATTATTATTATTATTACTATTATTATTATTATTATTATTATTATTATTAAGTAGGATTTTGTTTATTTGGTTATTTTATTTTTTTAAAAAGTCTACTTTTATAATTTGACACATTCTGCAGAAATGTTCTAACCACCAGGCCTATGTCACAGATACATTTCTTAATAAATAACCTTCTATAAATTAAAACCATTAACGTTGTATTTTTATATTTAATGTTATATTTTTGTTTTCATAAGCTTTGGAGACGTAACGTAATTTTGCTTTTAACTAAAAAATCACCTATAGCTTTTGCTATGAGCCACGGCTGTGTTCAAAATGGCATAAATGATTTTAAAGTAAACTACAAAGGAAGTGCAATTATAAACATGAACATCACTAAAACTGAACTGTAAAAATACCTTGAAAGCAAATTACACCAGTTTTTTTTTAATCATTCAAAATTTAAATGTTAGAATTTAAAGGAATTGGGCACAGAATATTATTTTTTCATAGATTATCACATATTTGCACCAGTAAATCCCTCCATGGAGACTATCAAGTACAGTGGTGATGCTTTGTTTATACTTTGCATGTGGGCATTGCATATTCCGGTTTCTTTTTGTCAAATGAGAAAGCAGATTACTGCCAACTGCAGGTTTGGGTCTCCTCTCAGACCAGTGCAGACCAGATGTGAGTTGACAACACAGTAGTTTTTCGGCTTGGTGTGTCCTGGTCCACACATACACACGCACGCACGCACACACGCACACACACACGAACCTGAGTAATAAATGTCAGTATTTGACATCAGGATGGCTCGACGTTGGATTTTGATCGCTATTCAACACAACCTAAAATCAACCAAATATTAACATCGTCTGACATCGTTATTAGACGCCAAAATAACATACTTAGATGCTAGCTAGACATTGAATTTATAATGTTTGGAATTTATGACTTATGGCATTGTGTGCCTGCTGGGTCATTGTGTCAAAGAAGAGACACCCATTTTAAAATGTGAATTTTATATACAACGACAACAGAGGTGCAGATCCAGATGCACGTTTATTAACAAGAATAGTCAGGCAAGCGATGGTCAACACAGTCAAACAGGTACATGCAGAGCAATCCAAAGTCATGGTCAGAGAACAGGCAAATAGTCAGTATAGGCAGCAATGAATCAAAACAAACAGACAAAGCTAAGCATCACAACACGGCTAGGCTAAACGTCGTAATGCTCACAGATAAACAGATAAAGAAGATTCAGCAAGTAGTGTGTTTGTCGGTGCTGCGTTTAAAGACCATGTAATCAGTTCTCAACAGCCTCAGCTGTGTTTGTGTTAGCAATCCGCGGAAAACCAGAAAAGGTGTGAGTGTGTGGTGCATGACAGGATCTGTGGTCCATATGGTGACAGATTGGCTGTCCTGAGTGAAAAGGAATGATTCCCAGCGATCTACAAGCCTGGATTGCTAGTGATTGTGACAGTATTAACCACAAGTAAAGATTAAGTAAATTAAATTGATTGTTTATAAATAACTTTTGTTATGACGTTAAATAAAATGTCAAGATGAGGGTAATAGCGCTTCATCATCATTCAGTCTAATAGATACATTTGTATAAATAACATACTTACTATACACTATTTTAATAGATTTTGCAAAAACCATTTACATTCAGTGGATTAAATTAAGTATTTAAAATATAAAAATTAGAAATAAATATTATTTTAAGGGGTTCATTGGGATTTAGTTTTTTAATATATCATGGTGTATCATATATCTAAATGTGACTGATACAGTAGATAGAAAATATAAGATTCCTGTCATATATACCATTGTTACAGTAAAAATCTATAAAATGTCATACAAATAGCAGAACTCACCTATCTTTAAGTAGGAAACAGAAAGAATTGTACCATCATTTATTTTGCCACTGTTGGTTTTTAATAATGATTAATAAACTGTACAGACATGACAGCTAACAAACCTCCTGTTTAAATAACAGAACAGTCAAAGCAGGTTTGTTCAGAAAACACTAAGTATAATTAAATCTGACATGGTTGGTTACCAAAACACAGAAAGGATGTGCACAGGCCATTTATTTTTTATCTCATGCCATATTATTAATTTGTATAAACAAGGAGTTGAACCATCTCAGATAGCCTGAGCATGGCTGTAATTTTGTCATCAGGAGTTTTATATTCATGAGTATATTTATCAGCTCTAACTTTTAATCCTTCTGTGACTGACATGTAATTGAACTGGCTTTTATTGATGGCGATATTTCCGAAAGTGGCTGCACTTGTATCTCTCGAATCTTGTAGACCTCTTCAGAAGCGTCCTCAAGTATAATTTCAGACAATGTGGGGTTGCTGCTGCTCTTGTTTTACGGGTGTTTCCCCAGGAACGTTGACCTTACTGAATGAAATATAGGCCCGTTGGCTAGAACTCAAGCCTAACTCTAGCGGTCCCACTCATAAAGCAGTGGTCATAAAACCGGAGTGCATAAATTCTGCTGCACAGAGGCGTGGAGGGGAGGCCAAGTATATTTGTGTCAACACCAAGCGTAATTACAAGGTGATAAAGACGTGAAAAGTGCTAAATCAATTCCGCTAACCAACAGGTTTTTGAGGCAGTGCTATGATTGACCGCTGCAAAGTCACAAATCAAAGAGGTCGACAGCGCTGTCACAGCACTGGTGTAAGCAGAGCGTACAGATTAAAAAAAGCTCTCTCATCAGTCTTTATTGATCCACCACTTACATTGAATAAACAGCTATTCGGCTCATCTACACAAATCACTTCACGTATCTATAATATGTGGCAGCATTTTATGCATCTGGACAACAGTGGTGCTTCATTGGGGCTTATTACTGTAGTGTTTTGTTTATGGAAGCATGGAGGTTAAATTTGAAGAGGTAGTTTGGCACTTTTGTGGACAATCTGTTTTTTTTTACTCTAATGTTATTCCAAACTTTGTGGATAATCTGTCTTTTTTCATTCTAATGTTGTTCAAAGTAAATCTATTTTTAAAAAGGTTTTTCTTTGTCTCTACACAAAAAAATTATGTGATTTCAATGGCTAAAACCTGTAATTGGTTAAAAAAAATTTACAATGCAATTTTAGATGTTTTACAGTAAAAATACCATTAAATTTACAGTTTTTAAAAGTGATAAAGACAAGTATTCATACACTGTAAAACACAACAGTCATCGTTATCAAATTAAACGAGTTTAGTTAACTCAAAATTTACTAAAAGTTCTTTTTACTCATTTTAAAAGAGTTTTGAACTCAGTGTTGAAAGTAATGAGTTCGTTAAATACCTCATTACTTCAACTTAAATGGAGTAAGTTCACAGTACTCATATGGATTAGTAGAGTGAGAAAACCACCGTCAACAAGGGGAGAACATGCAAACGCTACACAGAAACGCCAGCTGATCCAGCCGGGGCTAAAACCAGTGACCTTCTTGCTGTGAGGCAAAAGTGCTAACCACTGATCTATCATACCTCCACTTTGATTTAGGGCTGGGCGATTTGACCTTAAATCAAATCCTCAGTTAGTTGAGCATTTTAACTCGATTACGGCTAATGAACGATTATTTTATTTATTTATTTATTTTTG